GGCCCTTCAGCAGCCACGATTACTTGAAAAGGCCCTTGGACTATCGAATACCGCATCATCCCTTTTTCCAACATGCCTGCAGTCTTGTGCCCGAGCTTGCTTGCAGAAGCCCTGTGACTACGTACAACGAACTCTACAACCTGCACATCAACCTTACACTATCCAATGAAGGCGTTCTATTGCATGTGTCCGAACAATATTCCTTTCATACTGTACCCCTTGGCTCCAAGAGCACAAGAACCCGTTCCAGATCGTCTCCCTTCCGGAAGCTTACCCGTGTTTACGACGTTCAAATCCCTAACATGCTTGAGATAAAATCTTCTGAAGCTGTTATCGTTCCTAGACTTTGTCTCTGCTTATCTCTGCTCCTGTTGAGCCTTATATTTGCGACGTTCCAGGCAATATGGAAGCTATGTTCAGCCACGTTGGGGGGGGGCCGTTCTGGGGCTATGTTCGACAATATGGAAACTATGTCGGGCCACGTTAGGACAACCGTTACCGTTACTTGACCTTATCTCTGCTTATCTCTGCTCCTATTGAGCCGAATTGCGCGATCTTGAGCTACCTTGAGAAGAGATACCTCGATTTGCGACGTTCAAGTCCCTATCTTCCTTTCATACTGGCTCCCTTGGCTCCAAGAGCACAAGACCCCCTTCCAGATCGTGTTCCTTACTGCCGGTAGCAGTCTTTTAACCCCCCAACTACATTGGGCCATGTTAAATCCCTGTCTCGAAACATGATCGGGAGGGGATCACTTCCGGGGCTATGTTCGGTGGAAATATTGTCCCCTTCCATGCGGTGCGGGCAGTTACCGTCGCGAAGCGACGTGAATTAGTTGTCTGGCGCGAGGGGACAGGGATATGGGACAGCCAGCATGCATCATCTCATGCCCTCTCCTACATAAGCAATTCCCACCTGCTCATTCCACACAGGCTTGCGTGTGGTGAGAATCTGTGCTTCGCCATTTTGGTGTTCAGCCTCAGGCTTTACTCAACTTTTCTCAACCCCTCAAAGTGCTCGCCCAAAAGCTGCCTTCCAAGACTCGGACGGTGACATCTGCCAAGTCGCCCATTCCCAACATAGGACACCAAACCACCTCAAATTCCGTGGCCGTACTTTTGGGCTGCCCTTTTCGTTTCCACACTAGGCAACGGGCACAGGTGTCGTTCTGGTAGAGTCCCGGAATTATGACCTGTGTTCATCGGAATCCTTACACAAAGAATCACAAAGACTATATGCCGGATCTCTCGTAGCTTGCCAGCTGAATGAATCTCAGCACTGCAGCGCCTCCATCACATTTGAAAGGCCTTCACCCACTGCGTGTTGCTTGTGCTTGATGACCGCAACCTGGCAATCTCGATTGGTCAGTTCAAAGGACAAATCAATGGACGACAAGGCAAGCACAGCCTTTCTTCCCAAAAACTACTTTCAGCATGGATGTGTCATGAGTCAATCTTAGCGCGGGAGAAACGGAGAAACTCAGACAAAACTTTGAGCCTGCTGCTTCCCTCGAGAAGTGCAAGACCGATGTGGGGAAAGGTATTGACAGGCTGAACACCTTAGAGGCTGAGAAATGACTGACTGTATGTGTTTGGTAGCTTGATTGCCTTGGCCACTTGGATGATGGCTTGACATCCGAGGCCTAATCTATCCTAATCTTAGATCAGCACCTCTCCTGAACTAATCTCCAGGTGTCCTTTGAGCTATTGTAACCTGTCAGACAGACCACAACGCCTTCATGCTGAGGATTCCTGTGTGATCCTTTTTACACATTCCCGAGCTGAGGACCCATGGTGAATGCGGGCCTTAAGAACATCAGAAGCTTAGAGCATGATTCAGCCTGATTCGCCCTCTCCAACTGAATCATCAGTTGCCAAACTGCTTGGCTCTAGACCGCTCTTGATGAAAAAGCTCCTTCTGGCCTTGGTCTGAACAGGGATCAGGAAGGTCAAGCAGGCTTACACAATTGATGCTAGGTTGCGTCTTCCTTCATACTTGCGTTGAGAGCCTCGCTAGGATCATACAAATGGAAGTCTATTCTCTGGGCCTGGCCAAGAATTGCAGCGCGTGCAAAAACATAACACTGGCCCCGGGCATCCTGTAATTTTGCTTGGCCTCAAGTCGCACAGCGGCGTACATCAGAAAGTCACCTGGAAACGGGGAAGGGGTGCAAAAGGACTGACATGACAAGTTCACTGATATGAGCACGGATTTCTGCACACGAATGCGCATGGCCTGCATCTGTGAGAAGACGAGCTGACAAATTGTCCTCAGACCTGGCCACCTCATCTCTGCATCAAACTATGCTGGTGCAAAAGGCTGCCAGAGATAACGGTCCAGGGTGCAGGCACGAAAACGCCACAGCCTTATCTAGAATGCAAAGTTGAGCACCAGTGAACGACTGCATAATGAACAACGGATCGTTTGATTAGTCTCATTGATCAAGCTCATGGCTTGCTGGACCGACGCCTGAAGAAGTGTACGAGATTGCTCTCTTGGACGCAGCTTCTGCCAATACAAACGAGACACAGCGGCACGACGAAGTCTGTCGTCATCTCGTGCGCATGGCCCTCCTCCTTGAGGGCACTATCTCCAAAACTGCAAGAATCCAAAGCTTGCACGATTCAACTTGATCCAACACCCAGGCTCCATAGACTCCAGCAAGTCTAGTGAATACCGCCTGCCCCAGCCTTAGTCGTGGCAGCATGTGGCACCTACCTCTTGACCCTTTGCATGTAATTACCGGCGTATGGAAGCCAGCTTGTGGGAAATGGAGTTGGTTGCGAGCTCCAATGACTCTCAAACCTGCGACTCAGATTGTTGGCTCCTGGCTGGGTGATTGCGAGTCCTTCAGTTAAGAAAGATTCAAGATAATAGGACATTGCCGCAAAGCGCTTGCAACTTGAAGGAGCGCCAGCGGCGGCTCCTCACCACCAGTTTCTTTTGGAGTCCGAATGCCGGAGAGAGCTGCACCTTGACGTGGGTTGTCGACGGCAAAGTAAAACAACAGCAGTTTTGTCAGCGCCCAGCGAACCAAGTACCAGCCAAAGACGTGCTTGTTTTGTGAATCTGGCCTTGCTGACACGCAGCATGTTGCTTTGATGAGATGAGAGGCCGACGGCTGCCTAATCCCTAAAAAGCAATGTGCAATCAACTGCTGAACGGTATCTTGGAAACGAGCTCTGCTTCAGCTCCCTGGGCAGCTGGAACTATGACAACCCAGACTAGGCTGCCAGCAATAAACCAAAAAGAACAACATTCTCTGGATTTGAATCTGGTACACTGCACTGCGGCACAGCGAAAAGGACTGCGGAAAGAACACCCCCCAGGTTTTCGGTTGTCGAATTGAGGGCCCCAAACAAAGGTAGTCAGTCACCACATCATGTGAAAGTCTCTACAGCTTGGCAGGCCTTTCTGATTTTTGTCATTTCTTTTGCAGTCTTTTGATGACTTTTGCTTGGGCGGCATCTGCTAAGGCAACAGCAGAGGCTTTGCAACAAACCCAGCCAGAGAAGCACCGGCGGGATTGAGATGAACACATTTCATGACAGCAAAGGTTTTGTCGTGTTTGTTCAGCTGGATCCAGTTGACAACTTGGACGAAAAGGATAGGTTGGAGGCCATGGCTAGTAGGTTGGAGCACATCGCAAGTAAGTAATTAGGTTGGAGGCCATCGCTCTTAGGTTGGAGGCCATTGCTACTATCATCAGCAAGCAGCAAGCAATTTTGGATGCGACAGGCAGCTTCAACTGCTATCACCACAGCGAGCCTCGCCGTGCTCGAGGCCATCAGGGCTTCCAGGAGCCTTGCTGCCAGGTCGCAAGTACTGTAGGTTCAATTGTGCCATCTGTGCCCGACTATTCTTGCATACCGGTGAGAACATGTGAGAACCAGTGACCATGGATGAACCAAGAACCAAGCAAGGGGAACAACAATGCCTAAGCACCTGACTGAAGAGCCGCAATTCGACCTGAAAGCAAAGCCAGAAAATGAAAAAGGGCTGTGATAAAATACCTCTCACAGAGTATCTGAGATCCTTGAGATGAGTCTTGCGCAGCTCCAGTTCCAAATCATTGACTTTCACATCTGATGTGCACCAAACTCAGTGGCGACTCAGTGGCGACCAAACTTGGTCGAAGGCTGGGCTGCTGGGGACGCTGGGGAGGTGGGCGTGCAGCCCTGCAATAGCTGACGTCAAGCAAATCAAACTGTCAAGCTCAGCACCCAAGTGGTTCAAACATTCCAAAAGTTGGCGCAGGCTTTGAGGCTCTGCTTGCGCATTTCTGCAAACGAACTGCCCAATGCTTTCCAAGTGCCTGCTTCTGCTTAGCAGATGCCTTGGTCTTCAGAGTCTTGACATTTCAACTCCGTTAGACACGGCATTGATTCTAAAGCTCATTTGCTTAGCTGTGGTGCGTCTAGAGCTGCCAAGAGCAAAAGCCGCCCGCAAGTTGCAGCACCACCCCCTGACTTTCCAGCGGCCGGCAGTGGCCTCAAGTTTGTCTCATCTGGTTTTCAGGACTTTCAGCTGCTTGCATCTTTGAGAAACTCTTCGTTGTCAAATTTGTACAAGCCATCGGCAACTGCAACATGGCATTTGGCTTGCGCGGTCGCAAGCTCCAGCTATTCTGCACAGGCTTTTGTGAATGCAGGCTGTCTGTTAGGGTTCTGTGTTTGGTCAACATGCACTCGCTACTCAAGTGATGCAAGAGCGCTTGAAATAAACGTAGTGCTTGGAATCCTGTGTGTGTGTTAGTTGCACTGTTTCGATGTTTTCTGCGGCAACTTGGCTCAGCTGGATCACGAATGGCTTCAGAAAACAATGAAAACAACTAGTAACTATAATATAAAGCAATAGTACCATGATACTTCTAATGTGACTAACACTGCAGGTGGCGCATATCGCATACATTTCCACAGCACAACGAATCAGCACTTGGCTGTCTGGACTTGAGCACAATGTGGTCCAAGTTGCTTGGATGCTCTGCGATCTCTCATGTGCACGCTTCCTCATGAAGAAAGCACTACCAAATTCCTTCACTTCGAGGTACCCTTCCAAAAACTGCTAGGATATATTATATATATAACTGGGTCGGGGTGACTGTCGAGGCATCCCTGGCCTGGGCACGGTGTGTTGCGGTTGGGTGTGGTGTCGTCATTGTGTCATTGCTTCTTGACTGTTCTCTCTCTCTCTCTGGCGGGCATGACTTGTTGTGTTGTCTGTGCTTATGTTTGATGGTTGGTGTTGTCAGTGTGTTGTCAGGGTCATGGTTTGTTGTTTCTTGTTGTGTTTGTACTGCCTGATCCGTTGCAGCAGCAACGGTCCCAATAGGGTGGGTTGTCAAGCTAACCTGACACTTCCCCAATCCTATCTGGCGGGAAATTCCAAGAGGCTCCTGCCTGTTTCACGCAAGTGGTTTCAGCAGGTCCACTCCAATCCGAGACTCCACAGCAGCGACAGGAATACAAGCGATGGTCTGATGGTCCTAAAATAAATCACAACATGTAGTGTCGTTTCACTCAAGCAAACTCGCTAGATTCGCCCTTGCCAGCACTTTGACCGGCGGTGTCCCCCTGAATTCCACTTTCAGAGCGCATGGGCAAGCCATCGTCAAGCGCAGCACGCTGCTCATCCAGAAGCTCCAGCCATCTCAACAGCAAGCCCAAGTAGCCCTTGTTCGCACCATGTTGCTCATCATCGTAAGCATCCTCAACATCTCTCCGGGCATTTGCAGTAACCACCCTCCCATCGAGGGCATCCATCACCAAAAGCGAAGGCAATGCCTTTAAATCCCAACGTGCCGCAGCCTCCTGGAGTCGTTTGGGCGACCAAGTTGCCCCACTCAGAACTCCCAGCCGTTTCAAATGCGCTTTGTAGGAGTCTTCGGAGAGGTCACACGAGATCCAAACAAACTCGATGTCAGAGTGTTCTGGAAAAGACTGGAGAGCCGTGTACACATCTCGCATGATATTGTCGAACTCCGTGCAAACAGGACACCAGCGGCCTGAAAAGTAAAGGAGAACAAGCTTGAGGGACTTTGGCAAGGCTTGGCTTGTGCGAATGCTACACAGCTTGTCGTCCAAATGTGTGATGCCTTTCTGCTCTTTCGTCTCTTCCTTCAGGGCTGATTTGCATAGCAGGAGGTCCTCCCCTATGAGGGAACTCCAGTCAAAGGCCGGATCCTCCATGAGGTTTTCAATGCAAAATCCTTGGCTGTACTTAGCATGGTTTACTTTTCAACATTTGGTCGATACCCCACAAGTGCAATGACAAATTCTTTGCTCTATGCCTCTATGCATGGATGTCAGGTCAGTACGACCGCTTCAAGGAAATGTCTGAGTCTGTATCGTCACTCTCGTGCTAAAGGGCCGCTTGTCAAGGCTGGCAGCCGTCTTCAACGTGCTTGAGCCTCCAAATGCCAATGCACTACTGCAAGGCACCCGCAGAGTTTGTTATGCACAGTGTCTGTTGTTGGTTGGAGATGGTTGGAGCTTCGGTAGATGATACATGGTGACACTGTACATTTGCATTGCGTGATCCTGCTATATTCCAGTACCTGGTTTAAGCTACAGTACATCTGTGCCACACGTGTCGAATCTGCTATAGCTTTCTTGGCACTCCCACAAGCAGGACAGAACTCTTTAGGTTGTCTGTTTGAGCATGCTCTTAGTCTTAGTCTTCTCCGCTCTTGTCTGCAAGCACCCACTCTCAATATCTTTCAATGAATTGGCTCTCCTTTCTATGCAAATACAGCGTGGCATCAAGTGCAAGAACTGCTCGGCCATTTGGCTCTGCGTTTTGCCGTCTGGGCAGAATTGCCAGCATTTGCTGCTGCAACATGCGCTTACTCGCAAACTGAATTCAGCATGCGCACATGCACTTCAAGTTCAGGACTAACTCCAGTGTCTAAAGTACTGGGTGTAGGCCCCTATCTGTTTGCTCGCCTGTTTGGTAACTGCTTGCCGGTCAATCGGTCAATCTTGCTCCATTATACTGTTCTGCTGCTGTCTGACGCGGGTTCGTGCTAACATGCGTTTCAACAAACATTCGGCGACTTGTCATCCTATTCCCATTCGGCGCTTTTCACGGGCCCGTTCACGGTGAAAGTCCAGAAGCTTCAAATAGCCTGATTGAAGTGCTGTCGAAGGCAAACCCGGTAACGTTGTTGTCTTCGCGCAGCTGCGGAAGATCAATAACAACTCTATAAACTGTTGAAGGCCCTGACTAGTCATACTTCCAATATGTCCGACTTTCTTTGCTGCTGCTTGAGTGCCTAAACCTGGTGCCACAAGTCTGCAACCATGCAGGCCTTCTTCAGACATTGAGGCCTGGCTTGCGAGAGACCAGTGCTTCATTGCCTCAGGCACCTGGAGCCCGGCTCGTGCGCCACAGGTGCGGTGATCAAGATAGACACACAGCAAGTCTCTACATAAGAACGCCGAAAAGAGAGAGAGAGGTATAAATATATATATATAAATATATATTTGGTACCGTCCCCCGCAAAACCCACCCTTTCATTAAAGCTACAGTGTTTTATGCGTATTTTTGTATATAAAATTTTTGATAGAAAAAAACACAGTTCCAAAACTCCAAAACTCGAAAACTGCAGACCCCATGACCTGACCATGGCCACTCTGGGGACATAGGTCTGTGCAGTTTTAGGGTGTTGGGTTTTTTGAACTTTGGAGGGCTTCCAAAACTACAAAACTGCAGACCCAAGACCTGACCTGAACATTTGCAAAATTTAGTAAAAATTTGGCTTAATGTTAAAACGATTTGAATGTTTCAAGTATTAAATTGATTCCTCGAATTGGCAGCGCTCTTGAATTCAATATTTTAAAAATGTACAACTTTGGAACTGTTGTGCTTTTTAGAGGGGAGACCAAAGATCCAAAGTTACAAAGATCCAACACTGCACGAACCTATGGCCCCAGAGTGGCTATGGTCATATTTATTCCAAAGTTCAAAAACTGCACAGACCTATGTTCCCAGAGTGGCCATGCTCAGGTCATGGGTCTGCAGTTTTGGAACTTTGGAGTTTTGGAACTTTGGAAGGCCTCCAAAGTTCCAAAACTCCAAAACTGCACAGACCTATGTCCCCAGAGTGGCCATGGTCAGGTCACGGGGTCTGCAGTTTTGAGTTTTGGAGCCCTCCAAAGTTCCAAAACTCCAAAACTGCACAGACCTATGTCCCCAGCTTAAAATATTTAAAATATTGAATTGACATTGTATTTAATGTGTTAAATGGCTTAAGCTTTCACTTATAAAACAAAAATTGCCATATTAAAAGTATTGAATTAAATGTTTTACATTATTGAAATATTAGATTGATTCCTGGAATTGGCGACCCCTTTGAGCTCAATACTTTAATGCTTTTAATAGGCGAAACATTTTCTAGTTTTTAAACGTTAAATTCAATTTGAGTTAAACGCCTTAAATATATTGAAATTTTTACCATGGGCAGAATATGGAGAATATTTAGAATATTGAATTCAAGAGGGTTGCTAAATCCAGGAACCAATTCAGTACTGTATAAAACATTAGCATCATGAAGGGGTCTGGAGACAATTTTTCTAGTCCTGAGCAGGGCATAGGGACTGTGTAGCTCTGATCATACCAAGAAGGACCAAGCAACCAAGAGTGAACGCTCTGGGAGCGAACGATGTGAGTATGTCCAGTTGGGCGAGGTAGAGGCTTGGGGATAAGAGCGCCGCAAGGGGAGAAGCAAGAAAGCTGCAAGCGTTCAACGCTTCATGCTGTGCTCCGATCTTGATCTCAGTCGCAGTGATACCAGATCCACGAAACTACAAGCTTTCAACTATAGGTGCCCTGCTATTTTTCAGAAAACGACGTTATGCGGGTGTGGTTTTTACGCGTTTTTGTGATTTGTGGTTTTCTGCGTTTTTTTGAAAATGTTAGTTGTTTTGAAGAACGTGTCTAGCAAAAATGTCGACTTGTAATCTATCAAACTTCTCATCAATCTGATTCAAACATACTAGTTCTCATTGATTCCCACACAGAAGTCCATCAAGCATCATCTATCAGCAAGTCCACGACATCCCATCATACAACATCAGGACATCACCTCTATGAGGGAGATCTGGTCTCTAAGACCTCCAATCTCAATCAGTCCTCAATCTCCAGCAA